ACACCCCAAAATAAAAGGCTTTAGATGTGCCAGGTGAACCTGCAACCACATCACTTGACATAAGATCTTCTCTAAGCATTACAAGGATATGGCTCTGAATATATGAAGGTAAGAACCCATAGGCTTGGCTCTCTCATCCCTTCCAGGCTTTTGGGAGGGAGGGTGGACAATGAGCCTGTCATAGCGGATGTAAGCAATGTCCCCACGCGCTCTGGCAGCTTTCATAGCTGGGATGACTTCTTTCCTCTTCTGGCACACAGCTTCAGGATAGTTCTCGTTGAGGAAGATGTACTTGGCTATTTCCAGAACAGCTACCTTGTCTTTGAACTTCAGGAACTTGACCACTATTGGCCTGAGCCTGTCACCTGGGCCGGTTGTGGGTTTTCCAGTCCTGTGGGCGTGCTCCACCTCAATCTTCGTGTGGTTCATCTTCAGTTTCTCCGAGATAATTTCCCTCATTTTGTCCTCAGACTCCGTCCAGTGTTCATGTGGAGATTCTGCAATTCCGTCCACAACAATGTTGTTCCGCCTTGATTGTCCCTTGAGATAATCAGATTTCTCTGTCATTGTTATGATGGATTCACATCCAGAACTGAAGTCCTCTCTCAACAACTTACAGATTGCTGTCATCTTGCTGTTCTCCTGTTTAAACTCATCGAGCTGACCCTGGGAGAACTGCAAACTGTTCTTCAGGTCCTGGACCTCTCTGGTCAGGTCGTCCATTATTTTATAATGGGAAGCATAGAAATGGCGCACATACTGTAGAACAGATCTACCGCTTCTTAGACTTGCTTTCAATGAGAATGACAGATCTATAACACACATGTCCCCTGTAGCTCAGTTGGTAGAGCATGGTGCTTGCAACGCCAGGGTTGTGGGTTCGTTTCCCACGGGGGGCCAGTATGAAAATGGATGCACTCACTAACTGTAAGTCGCTCTGGGTAAGAGCGTCTGCTAAATTACTAAAATGTAATGTCTATGTGAATTTGGTCGGGTCGCCCAAAAAGTTACATATTGCAGCTTTAATAATATTTATAATCTTGAATAAATTAATTATTACAAATATATTTCAGAATCTAGACATAGTCCTTATTTTAGAGCACACTATAAGGAGTATGACACCAAGATGTTGTCTGTATCATGTACGGTGCACGGATCATAGGGTCTTACAGGAGGCATATATAGGTCTAAAAAAGGGCCAAAAATTTCCACTTTCATCATGATTTTCTAAAAAATTGTTTGTGATACAAATGTAAAAAGCATGTCAAACATCCTTCCTCACGATTAAGTTTCTATGTGAGATACCAAAAATATTTGCATCCCCGCTGAAATGGAATCTCCCTATACTGTTCCGGGCACTCATGTAACAATTCCGGACTTGGCTCTCGCAGGTTATTTGAACCCTGCTATTTCTGTATGTATTGTATTATTGTACTATTGCACAACTGTTGTAGTAGCAACTTATCCTGGTGTACCATTTACAGTAACCCTGTGAGACCCACACTTGCAAAAATGCAACGCTGCCTAAATTGCATCCTGAACAGGTCCTAAACTAAGAAATCATGTCCTTAGACCCAAATGTATATCTTAGTAGTATTTGTTGTGTGTATGATTATTGTGGCATCAGTAGCCTCTGAAACATTAGAAACCTGTCCACTCGTCTGAGATCACTACACATGTATATGTTGGTAGCCATCCATGCAAGTACATGATTTGAAATATTTCTTCCTGTCTTCTCTAATATGTAGTGATTATGTAGAAAACAATTAATTGAGAAACAAACATTCTGAGCCAGAGCTACAGGTAGTTTTGTAAGTGTTGCAAAAACTCATCATTGGGCTTAAAGGGTTGAAAAACGAATATATAGGGCCACATTCATATGTTGATAGACAAGTAAGAGAGATTGTTTTTCTTCCAAATAATGCAAATATGGAAATACTTCTGAAACAGCTGAAGGGGGACCCACTTTGTAGACCCTGTAGGGGGGCGGGGGGCACACTTAACAACCTGTACCTCAGTAGAGGCAGTATAATACTCACATGCTAAACTTCTTTGAGCTTTTCTCTTGGTTGAATGTAATTATGCATTTGAAGTTCAGAGTGGCAGAGATTGTGACCAAAATGCAATGTTCTCTGGGAAATAATTTGTCCAAATAAACACATTATTGCATTCAATGTACCCTACCTAAACTTGAAATAAAAAACGTTTTTGCTGTGAAAATCACTTTCACCATAAGGTGTAGACACTTCCTGTCATCAGAAGATCGTATTTTACTGTCAGCATTGTAAAAAAGCCCTGGTTTCACTGAATGCCGGTGTATGGATGGACATACAGTGGGGGAAAAAAGTATTTAGTCAGCCACCAATTGTGCAAGTTCTCCCACTTAAAAAGATGAGAGAGGCCTGTAATTTTCATCATAGGTACACGTCAACTATGACAGACAAATTGAGGAAAAAAAATCCAGAAAATCACATTGTAGTATTTTTAATGAATTTATTTGCAAATTATGGTGGAAAATAAGTATATGGTCACCTACAAACAAGCAAGATTTCTGGCTCTCACAGACCTGTAACTTCTTCTTTAAGAGGCTCCTCTGTCCTCCACTCGTTACCTGTATTAATGGCACCTGTTTGAACTTGTTATCAGTATAAAAGACACCTGTCCACAACCTCAAACAGTCACACTACAAAACCACTATGGCCAAGACCAAAGAGCTGTCAAAGGACACCAGAAACAAAATTGTAGACCTGCACCAGGCTGGGAAGACTGAATCTGCAATAGGTAAGCAGCTTGGTTTGAAGAAATCAAATGTGGGAGCAATTATTAGGAAATGGAAGACATATAAGACCACTGATAATCTCCCTCGATCTGGGGCTCCACGCAAGACCTCACCCCGTGGGGTCAAAATGATCACAAGAACGGTGAGCAAAATTCCCAGAACCACACGGGGGGACCTAGTGAATGACCTGCAGAGAGCTGGGACCAAAGTAACAAAGCCTACCATCAGTAACACACTACGCCGCCAGGGACTCAAATCCTGCAGTGCCAGACGTGTCCCCCTGCTTAAGCCAGTACATGTCCAGGCCCGTCTGAAGTTTGCTAGAGTGCATTTGGATGATCCAGAAGAGGATTGGGAGAATGTTATATGGTCAGATGAAACCAAAATAGAACTTTTTGGTAAAAACTCATCTTGTCTTGTTTGGAGGACAAAGAATGCTGAGTTGCATCCAAAGAACACCATACCTACTGTGAAGCATGGGGGTGGAAACATCATGCTTTGGGGCTGTTTTTCTGCAAAGGGACCAGGACAACTGATCCGTGTAAAGGAAAGAATGAATGGGGCCATGTATCGTGAGATTTTGAGTGAAAACCTCCTTTCTTCACCAAGGGCATTGAAGATGAAACGTGGTTGGGTCTTTCAGCATGACAGTGATCCCAAACACACCGCCCGGGCAACGAAAGAGTGGCTTCGTAAGAAGCATTTCAAGGTCCTGGATTGGCCTAGCCAGTCTCCAGATCTCAACCCCATAGAAAATCTTTGGAGGGAGTTGAAAGTCCGTGTTGCCCAGCGACAGCTCCAAAACATCACTGCTCTAGAGGAGATCTGCATGGAGGAATGGGCCAAAATACCAGCAACAGTGTGTGAAAACCTTGTGAAGACTTACAGAAAACGTTTGACCTGTGTCATTGCCAACAAAGGGTATATAACAAAGTATTGAGAAACTTTTGTTATTGACCAAATACTTATTTTCCACCATAATTTGCAAATAAATTCATTAAAAATCCTACAATGTGATTTTCTGGATTTTTTTTCCTCATTTTGTCTGTCATAGTTGACGTGTACCTATGATGAAAATTACAGGCCTCTCTCATCTTTTTAAGTGGGAGAACTTGCACAATTGGTAGCTGACTAAATACTTTTTTCCCCACTGTACAATAGAAAACAAATGCAGCATAATACTAGTGAAGTGAATAGTGAATACTATAAATAGCCTATGCTCTATAACGCATGCTAAGAATTATTTAACTTCTTGTTTAAATAGTCACCCACAAAAAGACTTCAGTCAGTCAGTGACTTCAGTCTAAATTTGATTTATTTTAATTCAGTTCTTGGCATTGTTTTATCTTCATATTGGCAGTTGAGGGAGCGGTGTGGCCACATTCTATCAAATCAAAAATGATTCATCAACATCACACACATTTTGACATTTACGCAACAAGCCACATGTTTTCTACTTTTCCTCAATCTCTTCATCATCTCCACCGTTCTTTACCTCATGTAGGTACTCTGCAAGCTGTCAGTCAACCCCGGAGATGAGACCCAACACAGGAAACACAACCTTAGATCTTATCAGCTATTCATTTAACCTTTATTTTATGAAATTCCCTGGTATAGGTATAGGCAGGGGTTAGAGAGGGGGGTTAGAGAGGTTTGAGAGGGGGGCCATTAACCAAATGGTTACTGTTTCGATTCTAGGGCTAATGGGGAAATCTGGCAGGAGTGAGATGGCAACCAAAGGGTTGCTGGTATCATAATCTCAGGTGCCACCTACTGCCATTGAATAACGTAACAGCTTGTGGTTATAGTCAAAAAGACAATCGTCTCACAGGTTTAAGTAAAACATGGTACATTGTTGCCCTAGATTTAGCACGTGTGTATGTGTTTGTTTAGCAGAGAAAACACTGGCCATGGTGTGATCAGCATTATACACCTCAACTTGATTTCTATATGTAATCTTTATCTAATTGATCAGATCATCTACATTGATAGATCATGGTCTTAGTTAAACTGGAAGAACACAAATCCTTAAAGTGTTCAACTTAATACCAAACACTTCTGCCTTGAAATGGGCATTTGACTGGTTGTGATTAAAACTGTAACTTTGCACAACCTCTGACATGAATGACACAGATCTGATGAAGAAAGTGGGGGTGGGATTTGAGGAACAGTCATTCTCTTCAGAAGTGTTCACAAACAGTTCTCCAAGTCACTTCACTTTCAAACACCAGAGTTAACAGACTGTCTTGGATAGCAGGTGAAACGCTGAAGTATTACAGGGGATCTTGTATTTTGCGTATTTGTCATTATAAATGTCTATGCATTTACTATTGAAGAACTATAGTTGTAGAAGTTATTATATGTATTGTTAATATATGTATTAGCTCGGTATTTATTTATTTTTGTCCCTTGTGGACAAATCAGTTTATTGAATTGAATTAGCTGTCACACAGTTTATACTCCAGCACACTAGATTCTTGCATTCTCCACAAAGTGTTCAATGGATCTCAAACCAACATTTTGGGTTATTCATCAGGGTTCATCAACTGTTTTTTTCTCAAACATCGTTTTTCTCAACAGGAGAAATGTCTACCAACAACTCTGTGGACCCGTTGGATTTAAACACCTCTGACACCAACCAGATGTGTGACGTCTTTGTCTACCAGAGAGCTGCCTTCATCATCTTCCCAATCTTCTACTCTCTGGTGTTCCTCATCAGTTTATGTGGCAACAGCCTTGTCCTGTATGTGACCTGCCAGAAGAAGCAGAAGTTCAACTCCACGTCTCTTTACCTGGTCAACCTGGCTGTGTCTGATGCATTGTTCACATTGGCACTGCCAGGGAGAGTCACTTACTACATCAGACAGTTTGACTGGCCCTTTGGGGATTTGCTCTGCAGGCTGGCTACTTTGCTGTTCTTTACAAACACATACTCAGGTAAGGTGTGTGTGTGTGTATTGTATGGGAAAAACTGTGTAAGAGCTGCAGCATACCGCAGTGGGTTGTGGTTATACTAAAAAATAAAATTTTCTCACGTTTATATAAAACATGTACATTTATGCCCTAGTTTTTGCATGTGTGTGTGTGTCTGTGTCTGTCTGTCGGTTTGTTTGTCTGTCTGCTTGCCTGTCTGCCAACTTGTATCTTCTGTTTATTCATCCACCCATCCAATATCCATCTCCCTCTCTTTCACCAGGCATTGCCTTCATGACATGTATCAGTCTAGACCGGTACCTGGCCATGGTCCATCCACACCGGCTACAGTACCTGCGGCGAGTCAAAGTGGTCCGAGGGGTCTGCTGCCTCGTCTGGCTACTGGTGTCTCTGGAAACCGCCCCCCTGCTTTTCCGTACCATGCTCCATGACCACAGAGGCCGACGAACCTGCATGGAGTACTTCACCTTTGAGGGTTCTCGCTCCACCCCTTACCTTCTCCTCCTGGCCTGTACTGTCTCCTTCTGTCTCCCCCTACTGGTCATCCTTGGGTGTTACACCCGGATCAATCTGAAATTGAGCCGCACGGCCAAACAGAACCCACTGACGGGCCGCTCGGGTCGGAGCCGCAGATCCAACAATATCATCCTCCTCATCCTCCTCACCTTCGTCCTGTGCTTCAGCCCCTACCACCTCAACATCATGCAGTTCATGCTGAGGAAGATGCTGGGACAGCCCACGTGTGACGAGCTGCGGTCATTCAAGGCTTCCCTACAGGTAGGACCTGCTAAAGTGAATGTCAGTTGTTGGTCTGTTCGTTGGTCTGTTTGTTTGTCTGTCGGTCGGGGAGACTGTTGGTAGGTCCGTCTGGCTATAAAACATTGTAGATTTACATTTATGCCCTAGTTTGTGTGTGTGTTTGTGTCCCTGCAGGTGACTGTCTCCATGATGAACCTTAACTGTTGTCTGGACCCTGTCATCTACTTCTTTGCCATTAAGACGTACAAGCAGAGGGTGATGAGTCTGTTCAAGGGCTACCTGTCTACCCCTGCCCCCTTCTCCAAAACCACCACAGACAACAGCAGCAGCAACACCTAAACATCAACACCTGAGTGACACCAGTAGGAAGAGACTGTGGTATGTCTTTATTAAACCAGAAGGAAGTCGAGGAAGCCATTGAAGGTGATTGCATCTGGTTGATTTCTGCATCCAAGGTTTGATTTGAGGTGTGATCATGGGTGTTATATTTGTGTACCAAACTGAGAATTTAGTTTTGTGAAAGTGAGCAAAGAGTTATCAGGCTGGAACCTACAGTGGGGAGAACAAGTATTTGATACACTGCCAATTTTGCAGGTTTTCCTACTTACAAATCATATAGAGGTCTGTAATTTTTATCATAGGAACACTTCAACTGTGAGAGACGGAATCTAAAACAAAAATCCAGAAAATCACATTGTATGATTTTTAAGTAATTAATTTGCATTTTATTGCATGAAGTATTTGATCACCTACCAACCAGTAAGAATTCCGGCTCTCACAGACCTGTTAGTTTTTCTTTAAGAAGCCCTCCTGTTCTCCACTCATTACCTGTATTAACTGCACCTGTTTGAACTTGTTACCTGTATAAAAGACACCTGTCCACACACTCAATCAAAACAGACTCCAACCTCTCCACAATGGCCAAGACCAGAGAGCTGTGTAAAGACATCAGGGATAAGATTGTAGACCTGCACAAGGCTGGGATGGGCTACAAGACAATAGGCAAGCAGCTTGGTGAGAAGGCAACAACTGTTGGCGCAATTATTAGAAAATGGAAGAAGTTCAAGATGACGGTCAATCATCCTCGGTCTGGGGCTCCATGCAAGATCTCACCTCGTGGGGCATCAATGATCATGAGGAAGGTGAGGGATCAGCCCAGAACTACATGGCAGGACCTGGTCAATGACCTGAAGAGAACTGGGACCACAGTCTCAAAGAAAACCATTAGTAACACACTACGCCGTCATGGATTAAAATCCTGCAGCGCACGCAAGGTCCCCCTGCTCAAGCCAGCGCATGTCCAGGCCCGTCTGAAGTTTGCCAATGACCATCTGGATGATCCAGAGGAGGAATGGGAGAAGGTCATGTGGTCTGATGAGACAAAAATAGAGCTTTTTGGTCTAAACTCCACTCGCCGTGTTTGGAGGAAGAAGAAGGATGAGTACAACCCCAAGAACACCATCCCAACCATGAAGCATGGAGGTGGAAACATCATTCTTTGGGGATGCTTTTCTGCAAAGGGGACAGGACGACTGCACCGTATTGAGGGGAGGATGGATGGGGCCATGTATTGCGAGATCTTGGCCAACAACCTCCTTCCCTCAGTAAGAGCTTTGAAGATGGGTCGTGGCTGGGTCTTCCAGCATGACAACAACCTGAAACACACAGCCAGGGCAACTAAGGAGTGGCTCCGTAAGAAGCATCTCAAGGTCCTGGAGTGGCCTAGCCAGTCTCCAGACCTGAACCCAATAGAAAATCTTTGGAGGGAGCTGAAAGTCCGTATTGCCCAGCGACAGCCCCGAAACCTGAAGGATCTGGAGAAGGTCTGTATGGAGGAGTGGGCCAAAATCCCTGCTGCAGTGTGTGCAAACCTGGTCAAGACCTACAGGAAACGTATGATCTCTGTAATTGCAAACAAAGGTTTCTGTACCAAATATTAAGCTCTGCTTTTCTGATATATCAAATACTTATGTCATGCAATAAAATGCATATTAATTACTTAAAAATCATACAATGTGATTTTCTGGATTTTTGTTTTAGATTCCGTCTCTCACAGTTCGAGTGTACCTATGATAAACATTACAGACCTCTACATGCTTTGTAAGTAGGAAAACCTGCAAAATCGGCAGTGTATCAAATAATTGTTCTCCCCACTGTATCTCTAGCTTAAACTGACAGATTTCTATGGGGTTTTTATTTTATGCTAATTAGATTCCCACCTTAGAAGGTTTTAGTACGACTCAAATGTTTTTGTATATATAATTCAGTTGTTACTGTAAAAAGAAATGTTACAATGTTTTGTTGAAAACTGAAAGAGTAAATATGTAATGCAAATTACTTAAAAGTTCTAAGGTGACAAGTTCTTGATTTATAACATGTATATTTGTAGTGTGTAAATGACTGGCTAGAGGTATAGACTGGAGCTGGGGACATTTTCTGTATAATTTTACTGTACTGAATAATATAAACTGAAGCTGAATACAATTATTTGTCATCTCTGATGTATAACATTTGTTGCGTGTGGCCATTAAACAGACAGAAGGTACAATAATGAGTGCGTACATTTTCATTGTGTGGAGAAAAAAAAATATATGTGGCCCAAGCCAAGTAGAAACAATCAGAATGTATCAAAGCATATAATTGAATGCCTTCTGATTCTATTTGCGCACTCTGTACATTTCCATTCCATATTTAGTTACATGACACAGCCAGATCACGGGGAAAACACCAGAGCTTAAAAGTAAAACATAATGTTTTCAAATTAAAAAGGATTTGACATGGTTCCCTGAATCTGTCATCAAGGCAAAGGGTGGCTATTTGAATAATCTCAAATATAAAATATATTTTGATTTGTTTAACACTTTTCTGGTTACTACATGATTCCATATGTGTTATTTCATAGTGTTGATGTCTTCACTATTATTCTCCAATGTAGAAAATAGTAAAAATAAAGAAAAACCTTTGAATGAGTAAGGGTGTCCAAACTTTTGACTGGTACTGTATATATATATATATATATATATATATATATATATATATATATATATATATATATATATATATATATTATATAATTAATGGATTATGTTTTAAATGCTTATAAAAGTGTGGTAAATGTGTATATTTTCCTGTTTAAAAAATGTATTGTTCAAAACAAGCTTTTCAGTTACTTACTACTCTGCCCCTCAGTGACTGCCAGCAGCAGCAGCTCTGCCTCCGTGGGGCGCATAGGCCGTATGTACATTGCTTGGATTGTTTTGCCAGCTATTTGCTATGAGGGGGAACTGCCACAATGAAATCATAGCATAAATTCTAACAGCACAAAGTAAATGGACTGTTCTGGGGTGCTCAAATGTTCATCTGTTCAGTCAGAACTTCTGGGTCTGCGCCAGACACCTTACTTCCACAGACTAGATCTGCTCTATCTGGTACAGATGGTGCTAAAGCAAAAAGCGAATTGTAATTAACTCGTAAATAAATAATCAATAAGCCAGCTATAGCTAGCTGGTAGCTTGCTAGCTAGTTAGCTTCCATGCCAATTTCAAGTCTTTCTAAACTAATATCTTTCTAAAAAAATATGAAGTTATTTCAGAATGAAAGCTAACTGGCTAGCGCATCATGCTTTGCGACATTATGTTAGCTAGCTATCCCCAGTTAGTTCATGTGTTTTCACTTATTGCATCAGCATGCTTGTTGCGTTCTCCCTGGTTTCCACTAGTTACCACAGCCACAAAGTCAAAATGGGCTATATTGTAAGAATTCATGAAAACAAAAATTTGCTTTTGTTTTTATTTTAAGGATATGGTAGTGTGAGAGATTTATTATGTTTATAATTGATGGGATGACTAACTTAGAAATAATGCATTCTTGACTGGGCTAATGTAGGCTGTGACACCTGGCAAGCTGTGATTGATGTGAAGAGCTGTTTTAGGGGGTAAAGGGAGATAGGGATTTGTGTCTCCAAATGCTAGACTATACTGGTTCTTTGTGATCTGTGAACCTTCCTTGGACGTAGGAATGGTGTCTAAGGGAGCTGGCTCTTCTCACTATGACAGGTTGTTATGATATGGACATATGCCTGGTAACAGAGATACATCAACGGATTGACTGAGTAAGTCTAAACCACACTCAGTCCTCTACTCTAATTGGTCAGCAGAGAGGTGGGAAACTCCCTCTGTCAGAGTATTTGAGCAAGAACCCAGAACAATGGGTTAGTTCTCTGGGGTGCCCTGCGAGGTATTTCAGAGAGCCCGTATATACGAAACATCATATTTACCATTGAAGGTTTTTGCATTAATTAAAATAACTAGTATATCTTAGAAGTCGTATTGACCTCTTTTGTTCCTAATACCAGATTTGAATTGACGCGACTTTGACAGTAGACATAAGGTTAGCAGTGTGGTTAAGGTTAGGGTTAGGTTTAAAATCACATTTTAAGAAGAGACATTTTAGATATAGGCAGGCTTTATGAATTTGTAACTGTGGTAACTAGTTACGATCGTTATCACGGTGCACTCGTTCATCGTGAGCTGGTAACACTTTCTAAATAGTATAATCTAATCTGTTCAAAACAGTGGCAGCATGTGCACCAGTGGTCATTCGGTTTTTGACATTCAAAAGTGAAATAGGTGTATTTATGCTGTTGTTCAAATGCACAGATGGCTTTATATCATACTGTATCTTCTCCAAGAAACTACCGGTAGTTCGAAAACTTGGCATCATATTTCTGTCGTGCTGCTTTGTTGACAACTCCAACCGCAGCTGGCATACACGCACCAGAGGAGGCTGGTGGGACGAGCTATAGGAGGACAGGCTCATTGTAATGGCTGGAATGGAATTTTCGGAACGGAGTCAAACATGTGGTTTCCATATGTTTGATGTGTTTGATACCTTTCCATTAACTCCATTCCAGCCATTACAATGAGCCTGTCCTCCTATAACTCCCCTCACCAGCATGAGGCACACACATACACCCCCCCCTCCCACCCCCCCCAATTCAAAATCCTATTATCCCAAACCCCTAACCCTAAACCTAACCCGTACTCTTACCTTAACCATAACCCTAAACCTAACCCTAGCTACTAAACCTAAACCTAAAACTAACCCTAAACCTTAATGTAATTCTAACCCTAACACTAACACTAATTCCAACCTTAACCCTAAACCCCCTAGAAATAGCATTTGACCTCGTGGGGACTAACAAAATGTCCTCAGTTGGTCAAATTTTGTTTGTTTACTATTCTTATGGGGACTTCTGGTCTCCACAAGAATAGTTAAACACGTCCACACACACACACACACACACACACACACACACACACACACACACACACACACAGACAGACACACAGAGCATTTGTGTGTGGGGTGTATGCAGATACACATATCTCTCTCTACATCCTCGCCCACCTGTCATACTTCCCCCCACACACACACTTCCCTGCTTACCTTGAGGTTTCTCTATCTCCAGGAGGTGGTTTGTTTATAGTGCACTGTAACTATCTTATCTTATAGCCCCATCTCTATATTTAGATGTAGAACATTGCCGGAGTGTGCAGAAACAGCGATCCA